TCTCTCTCTCTCTCTCTCTCTCTCTCTCTCTCTCTCTCTCTCTCTCTCTCTCTCTCTCTCTCTCTCGCTCGCTCTCTCCCTGTTTCCTTCTCCCTCTCTTCCTGTCCCCCGCTCTTTCTGGGTTATTGATTGTTCGTTTTTTGCCCAATTGGCTCGTCGAGGTTTGCGCTTGCTCAATGGCGTACCGGTGCCATGAAACCGTTTTCGGACTGCATTAATCATTGATACACAACCTACGGCTAGGTGTAGCTTGCCGCCGCCATGGCCCGATTGTCTGCCTCACACTGTACATATCTATTTCGCTCTCTTTCGGTATACAATCCGTGTCTCGTTGGCACAGGTGCTGCGCGTCCCCCTGTCGGCGTTGTCCTTCGGAGGCATCAAGGACAAGAGGGCCATCACCACGCAGGCAGGTTTGACACGACCCATTTTGCAGTGCTGCTATTAAGCCATCAGTCCGTATCCACTCTTTTTGCCACGGGTTTGAACGATTTTTCGCGCCAAGATCGTGGCATGGGCGGCAGACTGAGAGGGTGGGGAGGTCTCAGCGTAGATTAACCTTGTGGGTGACCCCGTGTTGTCCATAGTACCTGAGAAAAGAGACGCTGGATCGGCGTAGAGGCTACTTATACATGATGTGGAGGGCGCACAAGAAAGCAGTTCGTGCCACCGTAGACGGCCTGGTCGTATGTGGATGACAGTAAGATTACACATGTAATTCTACTTCTACAGTACCACCGGTTGCGTTCGTTTTCTTTGCCTTGTGTTCGGTGCAGCGAGTCGAAGATATATTCATTGAACCAAACCGTGGTATGTTGTTGTTAGGGGGGGCTTTTTAGAAGCTCTGCCAAGACTAAGCTCACCGCCGGAGTGTTTTTGCAAGCACCTTCGTCTAACGTTGAAGGGGTAGAACCCTCCAGTGTACCCGGAGAGCAAAGCGGCATTGCGGTGACACCGAGAAATGCTGTTTTGCCTTCATTGGCAGCAAAACCGCACTTTTGGTTGGAGGCCATCTATCGCGTCGAGCAGCGTATTATTTTGTCACACCAACCCCCAACGGAAAAAAAACCCCAGCATTTTGTCCCCCCTCTGGCCCCCATTCACCAGAATGAGAAGACGTGGAAATACATGAAGATAGCCGATTCATGTTGGCGAGAGCTTCGCCATGACTGGTTGGAGGTTATCAAGAGTCGTTGTTTCTCTTCCTGCTCGAATTACGGGCGTTTTACGTGACCATTTCTCTCATGTGTTTTATGATGACTTGGCCCTCGATTCTTTCGAGGCAGGCGTGCATCGTGAAAGGGGTTCCACCAAGAAAAATCCTGGAAATCAACGGCTCACTCCCCGGAGTTACCGTTGGCAACCTATCATACTGCGCTCGTGGCCTCAAGTGAGTACAGGGCTGTGGGGGATGAGCAGTGAGAGGCAGATGGCGTTACGACCACTTGCTTCTGAGATTGCTGTTTCTGGCCGAAACAAGTCACCGAAATCTACCCCACTGTCACCGTCCAGGTCAAATAATCACTTCTTGAAACGTCGGACAGCAACCCTGCTTCCCTTCCCCTCTCCGTTCTTCGGCGTTTCAAATTCCGACGACCGCCCGACGCAGCTTGGGTGAACTGTCCGGCAACAAATTTTCGGTCGTAGTGCGAGGCGCCATGGTGCCAGGGGCGGCTATGAAGAGTTCCCTCGAGGAAGCATGCTCCAACGGTTTCATTAACTTCTTCGGAACACAGAGGGTTGGGTCGCCGCTGGCCGCGGCTCGAGGACAGCCGCTTCCGTACCAGGCAAGGGATTCCGACCGTTTTTTCGTCTTTGGGAAACAGCTTCATTCGTGAGAGCGCGCGATGAATCGCGTCATGAGTGATTGGCGCGATGGGTGTCATTTCTTTTCGTTGCAATCATTCCAATTTTTGTTGTCGTTCTGGTGAAAATGGCATCCGGACTTGTCTATTACCTTGCTAGGGCGTTGTATTGACGCTCCAACCTTTTAGGGGACGCTCCAACCTTTTAGGGGACCAGTTTTGTCGGGCTTCCAGAACGAATATTGAAGTCGGGTAGGCAACCAATATCGCCGCAGCCCCAAAAGTCTGAAAGACATAACCGTTTCTGATGAGGTGGTGCAAAGTCCCATCTGTGAAAACAGTACCATGTGAGATTCAAGTGGAGCAACGATATGGCCCGTCGAGATGACAGCTTCGAGCAGCACGAGTGTAGAGTACGACCAGGAACCGACCGCTTAGCCCCGTGTTTTTTTTTTTTTTTCCGACACTTCTTTCAGATCGGTAGACACGTTTTGGCCGGCGACTGGGAAGCAGCAGTGAAGACAATTCTACAGCCCAGAGACAACGATCCACCCTTCCTGCACTCGGCCCTCGCTGAGCTTTTGGAGGGCAAGATCACCGCAAGAGACTGCGCAGCACGCGTGAGGGGGCGAAAGTGAGCAGAGTAGCTCCACTTGAATGTCGCTGGGTTTGCGGCGCATGGTGTGTTGACGATGACGGATAATAGTCGGTGTTGCTGTTGGCGACTGCCCGCTGATACCTTCCCAATTCCCGAGCCAAAGGCTAAACGAAGCCGCTTGCGAGATTGTTTGCAGCCTTCTGTCTGCCCTGCCTTGGCGTTCTGTGGCCATTGATGTTTTTTCGTCCTTATCGCGACCGAATGGCATGAACTGGTAGTCTCTGTCGTGAACGAAAACCCAGATCCCGTTAGCGGGGTCGCCGTGGTGGTGAACTGTTCACTCCCGTAGTTATTCCACCTGGCTAACTGGAACTATCGTTTCGTTGGGAAAATGTGGTGTTGCATTCTGTCTGTTTTACGGATGTTTCTCCCTTTCCTTGCCCCATGGGACTGCTGTGCTGGTTGCCGGTCTCAACTCGTTGTTCGAAGCGCGTATTCTTTCCGGTTTGAGAACGTATGTGTTTTTTTGTACCTTTTTCGTTTTCGGTAACACGTACGACTGTGACGGTGAGAACTTTCCTTCGACGGGTACGGAGGAGATTCTGGAAGAGTAGAAGCAAAGCTAACGTTTTCTACATCTGTGGATACATCTGCCAACATGCCACGTGCTGTTCGTTTCCCCTCTTCGGTAGCCGGCTGTCCACGGAGCGACTGGTTCTGCAGGGCTTGGTTCGCTACGGCGATTCTGCTTTCCAAGTCGCTATTCAGGTTTGCGAGATTTTTGTTTAGCACGCTTGTCTTACACTACGGTTGAGACAACCCGCTTTTACGGTCTAGCGTCGATGTCCGTTCAAGAGGGGCTTCTTTTCGTCCTATTCGGTTGTGTACCAACGGCGAGACACGTACAATCTCACGCGCTCTACTCCACCTGGGAGCGATGTTTTTTCGGCCTGTGGGCGCTCGACGGCTATCTGCGGGTTTTGATCCAGGACCCTTGTGAAAGGAGCACCTACCTCATTCTTTGCCCCCCGCCGATCGAAACCAAAAAGTGCTACTATCCAGCAAGCACGCCTCCTGCGCGTTTTTACGTTGGCGGCACGGAGGACTAACGACCCCCCGGTCTTCCCCTCGCCTCCCCACGCGCAGTGCATCCCTTTCGGCATGCGCACCATGTGGGTGCACGCCTACCAGAGCCATGTTTGGAACTCCTTGGCCTGCGCGAGGATTCGCCTGCTCGGGTCTGAAGCGGTGCCAGGCGACCTCATACTCCCGGCCGACGATTGCGCCGCCACCGAGGAAATCGGGGAAATGTCCCCTGCATTTCCCGGTGCTGTAAGCGATTTGTCTGTGTTGGCTGGGACCGAGGATTCACTCCCATCTTCATGTGCTGCAAGAGCGCGTGCTACAAGGGAGGATGGGGAAACCGAGGAAACATGCCCCGGGAGGCACGTCAATGGACTGCTGCCCTCTGCCACTGCTGCGGTAGGCGTCGGTGCTAAGGGGATCGGGCGTGAGGCCGGGGATGGTCACACCGGTAGGAAATCTGCCGGCAGCAGTTCTGTTGCGAGTGGCAGAGGGAGAGGGCTGGTTACGGTCTTGACGAGTGAGGCGATACAGGCGTTCGCGTCTGAGGGTGTGACACCTAGGGACTTGCTGCGACGAGTCGTCCTACCGCTGGCCGGAACATCGGTTCAGTATCCCCTCCATCAGGTAGGATTGACCGACAACAGTATTTACTATCCCCGCGACAGTATCTTCACAGAAGCACGCGTGCACCCCCTGCGCGATCGCTAGAAGTTGGAGTTCCAGAACGGTGGGACGTTGAGTCTAATTGGTTTCGTCAACAAACTAACCGATCCTCGTTTGTACTCGTCAGCCTCGGACCGTAGTCTGTAGTTATGAGGCTGAAAGTGTCCATGCTTGGCGCCACCTGTATGTCTCCCACCGTGTGGAGCAACTACAATCGTCACGATTCGCCTCTGAACGAAGTTTTTGGCTGGCACGAGCCTGAGTACTGTGTTGAGGCACTTGCCAGCGTGCGTCTCACGGTTCGGTTCCGACCCTCTTTGTCGGCCGAGCGTCGATTAGGTCCGCACACCAGCCGGATCGTCGCTAGTATTCCAGTCGAACACACCAGTTTTAGCCCCCAGCTTTCTTTCCCCGCCAGTCCCTGCGCGTTTCCGCGCCCCGACAAGTGTTGTTTTTCGCACCGGAATGAAGAGCAACTTGACCCCTCCCTCTCCGTAATGGAGACCGAACAAGTGCTCGCTGAGTTCCTACCAAAGCCGCACCTTGTGCTCTTCAATTTCGACGGGATGCTCGTGTACATCTCTTGCTTTCTCAACCGGTCGGGTCAGGCAAGCAGCGCAAGTGTTGTAGGTAGGCCGTCTACCATTACCACTATTTGCCACGAGCTTTCATCGTGTGCTCCCTAGTCTCGAGCACTCCGGCTCCAACGGCATAACTCACCCCGCCGACGAACCGCAAGCAGATCGGAAGCATGTACCGGCAACGGCTCCAGGACGATGGTGTCGATCCTCTCATGTGGCCGGCACCAACACCACCCTTCAAAACACATTTTCCTGGACTGCCCGACGGGACAACACGTGCGACAGCGATTGACGCGGCGGGGTTAACGGCATATCAAGCACCTCTGACCGGTGCCCCTTGCCTGTCGCGGGGGATAGGAGGTGATGGCGGCGGCACGGACAGCACGGCGGCGGAAACCGAAACGGTGGCGACTGAGGAGGCGGTCGCGTCCTCTACGCTAGTACCAAGGGGGGCCTACCGCCGGCTGCTGTGCGTGCCCGTGGATTCATCTTGGGAAGCGGTCGCTCCGTTAACGAAAACCGACGATCCAGACGAGGTTCGAGTCGAACGATCGGCCATGTCTGGCCGCGGCCAACCGAACGGGACCACCCCTCCAGGTGGTGCGGGTGCTGCGCCTGGTGATAAAGGCAGAGTACTACTGAAAGGCGGGGATGGTGATGGCTCGCGAATATCGGGGGATGGCGGGCAACCGGGAGGGCTTGCAAACGATAGAGGTAGGGCAGATCTTGAGGCTACGTCTGCCAACGATGTGTTTACCGACGTTCGCCTCACCTTCACACTGCCCCCCGGTAGCTTCGCGACCATGTATCTCAGGGAAGTAATGAAGAGGAACGATGATGTTGGTTGGGGGTCACGGGGTGCAATGGAGGAACCACAGGAGGAGGGGGGGGTTGTGGACACCATTGCGGTGGACGGGACGTAGGGCTAGGTTCCGTGATTGTTTCCTTGGGTATTTGTGGAGCAGCCTGGCCTCTTGGCTGTGGCAACGGACGTCAGGAACCAAGACACGGGCAAGCTTGCCAAGGCTCGGAAAGCAGTCTGCCTGTCAGAGTTGAGTCGTTCAGGTTCACTGACGTATTTTCTAGAAGCTGCAGCTGCGAGATGAAATTCTTCACGGATTCCGAGAGATTGCAAGGGGTACGGTGTCTTCCGAGCTTTCGACCGGCGAAGTGTAATGCAGTAGTGCCGCAACGAAAGCAGTTTCCTTGTTGTTCAACTTCGGGTGGTGCCGTCGATTCTGATTGCGCAGGGACCCGGTGAGTATGGTCAGCCAACGTGAAGACGCCACACTTTGATCGAGAAGGGTAGCGACCCCTCTCTCTCTGTCGCGTGTGCCGAGATGCCATGGACCATGCACGGCAACACAGCGGCACAGCAAACCCCCATTTATATGTCCCCATGAACATGGCAGGCACCCAAACCTTGCACAAATCTCACAGTTTTTTCTGTAGCGACGGAGAATAGGAAAAGACAGCCCCGCTCCTCCACAAAAGTCGCTCAGATGCAGTCACGGAACAATAGGGCGCAGGTAGAACACGTGGCAACCGTGCGATCGAGTGATCGTGGTTGAGACCTTTGCCCTTGCGTCACATTCCCTGTCGTGTGTTCTCATGAGGTTCCAACATCTTCCCTGGAATTGCCCGAGACCATATTCAGCAACTTTTTGCAGTTGTCTGGCCAGCTTTGCGCGCTCGTGTTTTCCAGCGATGGTGCTACCTTGCCCGAAGTGTTGCCATCCCAACGCTGGGCCAATCTCATCTCGTGTCCAGGGGCTTTCATAGCCCTGGTTCCGCAGCGACAGGCGCAGTTTTCGGATTTCGGGGTGGTCGTTCTGCGCCGCCGAACCGAAGAGGCCGAGTTGAAGGAGATATTGGAGAATACCGAGCGTGCGCAAATACATGCTGTTGTTCTGGCCACCTCCTTGGGGCTAATCTGGACGAGCTATCCCTACTACCCGATATGCTACGGGAAGCGCAATCGGTATGAGCGTAACCAACAGCTGGGTAGGAATGTCTCTACAATAACTGGGGCACGAATAACTCTTGATTCCAACGAGTAAAACCAGAGAAGTGCCACAGGATACGTGCACCACGCCAAGCATTAACTGTTCGCATTCTCACGCCAAGCTTAAAAGGGCTATAACTGCGAAACAGAAGGACAACGCACATCATACATTTGTATATGTGCAATCACACGTTTGGGTTCCTCGTGAACCCGACGAAAAGCAGCGGACAGAGATAGTCCCACAGGATACGTGCACCACGGCAAGCCCGATATTCTTGCATTCTCACACCGGGCTGACAAGGGCTAGAACTGTGAAAGGACAAAGCAGAAACAATCACCAACTTTGGGTTCAATAGTTGATCCCTACGAAAGGCAGAGATAGTTTTACAGGATACGTACAACGCGGCAAGCCCGATATTTTCGTATTGTCACACCAGGCTTCAACGATCGATCACTGACCACTGTGAAACGGAAGGACAAAGTAGATACAATCACAAGTTCGGTTCAACTCGTCATCCCGACCAAAACAAGCAGACAGTAGTAATCCCACAGGATACGTGCACCGCAGCAAGCCATATTTTCAAACCCCCGATTGAACAACGACGGTGGTCTACAATATACTCTGATAGTCGCTTGCTTAACTCGCTTTCGTATTTCGTTTGGTTTCATGCACATCAAAATGTGGACGACCACAATCGATAAAATACGGTTTACGATAGGATCGAGTCATGTACAAGTGGAGCCTTAACATACATGTATGGCCGACTACGGCAGGATGGACAGTGAAATATTTGAACCGAACAGCAAAACACTCAGACCAGACCGTAAACATTCAAAATCACCCAGGGGAATACGCAAATCGGAAACAATCGATTCAAGAAGAAATCGACGAAAGTTGAGAATGACCGCTGCGTCCGCTGTCGCCGCCGACGCCACCGTTATTATTCCTGCCGCACCTTTACCAGCGACGGTAGCGACCCACCTCCTTATCCTTGAAGGTTGGTCTGTTTTCATAGCGGGATACCCTCCGGAAACACATTTCTACTCGGGGTTGCTGTTGATGCTGCTGTTGCTGCTGATGCTGATGCTGACACCGCGCTGGCCATAGTTCGGGAGGCCGGCATCGACAGTGGTCAATAAAAGTGTGTCCTCGTCAACGCTGCTGGCGCTCCGCAAGGTCTCCACCACCCTGTCCTGCGCGGGGTCCCCTGCCAGCAGGTGTGATGAAGCCTGGGGCATGGGCTGGCGTGTACCCGTTCCGCTGCTGTTGCCACGCACAAATCCTAGTAGCCGACGCATGGAGTCGCCAAGGGGATCATCCTCAGGCGTCGAGTCGGACACGTGTCCAACCCTGTCTCTTTGCTCAAGTTGAAGGAACCTGAGGTAGGGTGTAAGAGAATCATACTTAAGATGGCGGGGGAGTGATAGTCGCATCACATTTTTCAACCATTGGAGCACAATAACGACAATCGGATCGCTCGGAACGGCAGCGTGAAACGAACGATGTTGACACCAATGACGAGGCGTGAGGGAAAGAACAACTGAAGTTGGTCCTTCGTCAGCCAAAATTGGATCAGCCCCCTAGACTATTCTTCGTATCCACGAAGCGCGAGGGCTTCGGTTCTGTGCAAGATGTGCATGCACGAGTCCCTCTACGCCCGTAAATTTGGAGGATCCTTTCCAAAAGAGCAAAGCCACTCAAAACATTCGGGCACATTTCCCAGCTACATCTGCATGCGATGAGCGTGGTACGCTTCGGTCGAATTCACAAAGGGCGGCCACCATGTGACGTAGCCGAGGTCTGCGAACGATTTTATACCTCTGTAGACACAACATTGCGCAGTCTTCAGCAACGCTTGTGGGGTAAACACGTCATATCATTATGGATGCATGGTTTTGAACGATGCTGTTCAGAACCGAACTGCTGCGAAAACCGTTATAGCATTACACCGGGAAGTTTCAACCACACAAAAATCTGACTATAATTCGAGACCGCTCCCCTCACCGCTTGATGACGTCATCTTTCTCGATCATCTTGACGGAAGACGCCAGCTTAACCCTGTACTGAGCCCCGTTAGGCTTGCTGGTGGTCTGGTGGTCCTCCACCTCCTCGCCCTGGTCGTGGGCGTGTTGCTCTGCGTTGTGGGCGGAGCAAGGGCAGCGTTTCGATTTGGTATTCGTAGCACTGGCATGGCGAATGAGCGTGTTTTATCTCGCGGGATGCGGAGACGTTGCTAGCGAAAATGACATTGTGGCGTTTGGTCGTGCGAAGGGGTTCTCACCTAGGAAGTTCATTTTCTCCGCGTGCCTCTTGCGCCTCGCTGTCCACTGAAAGGTGAAATTTTCCAGCACAACCGCGATGACCACCTGATACGTCAGCACCGACGAACGCACACAACGCATATTACAAGCAAGCAAGCGTCGGTACAAGACAAATATCGTCAACCCGTTAGGTAGAACTCTGCTTCGAGTCTCACCAATGATGATATGCAATCCTGCGCAACAGGCTGTCATCTTCGAGAGGAGAAAAGAACTTTAGTAAGTATGACGTTGTGGCACCATGGAAGGAATCGATTGACTTGTTTTCGGGCCCTCCCTACCCCCCCTCGGTGTTTGCCATCGGGATTGGGTTTTCGTCGCTTGACAACGACGTTGTAACATAAGCCAATTCACTTCGTGAACTCGGCAACCAGGTTACCGTTTTTGTTTTTACCGCTGTTTTTTTTTGCCGGTAACCATAATGGTGGTCGAGTAGATCATGTTGTGCGGGGTGAAGAACCCTCACTCGGCGCAAGGGGGATGATCGCACCACGTTGTGTTGAAATGGTCAAGCACCCTCGAGGCTTACAACTGTCTCTGGAAGTGAAAGCATAAAAAAACTATATTAAGTCATACGCAGCTGTCATTCGTACGCAAGGAAGTAAGCACAAGATGCCGAACACCCTTAGCAGGATGCAGCGCACCCTTCATGCGACTCGCCGAATACCTCACGGCGCTTCGCGCTTGGTGATGTGATAGCCTGGTCCGGTCAGAACCCGGCGTGCTCCGTCCCGGCTTTGTAGGGATGCGAGGTCAATGGTCTAACGACTACGGCATGCACGACTGTGAGTACACCCCCTCCCTGCCATCGTTCAGGAAGTCAAAAGCCCGTGAAAATCAGGTAAGGCAATTAAGGCGTATATTTGAGGTCCTGGAGTTCAAGAAAAAAACACAAGAGAGCTGAGCATACACAACAAATGCATTAAAAGTAAGACACAAAACTTGCGACAGCGAGTGCAATAATAACGCCGATGTTCATTCCAACATTATTGGGGTACGCAATATGAAGCGCACACACTTAAACCAGGGTGAATTATCGCCGGACACCTCGCATGCTCCACAAACATCTCATTCACAACAGAACTAACTACATGCCTGCACAATACGCCATTTGATACGTCAGCTACCGATGGTAAATCTAGCACATTCCCTCCGGTCCACGTGTCACCGCGCTCACGTTTAGGATCACGAGCACGCCGAGCACATAGAATGCCACGAAGAACCATCGATTCCACTTGTTGTCGCCGCTAGCTTTGACGAAGACATCCACAAACACAAACCTAACGACGAGAGTTGAATGACAACAAGGTGGGCAGAGTAGTGCCGAAGGCCACAACCGTCACACGAGAGTCGATTAGTCGATTTTCGAGTTGTGTTGGTTCAGCAGCATCACCAACACAAACAACTTGGACTACGCTAAACTACACACGACGGTACAACAATCCGAAGACAAACACAGCAAAGGGCGGAGGCCTGCACCTCAGCTAAGGGGGGCATGACATATTCGTTGATCCTGATGGTGATATTTCGTTGTGTAGCGTTAGTTAGACGATCACACGTCGTATCCGAATCAAGAGGCAAAGCTTGAGCAACACGTGAGAGAGAGTTTTACCATGCCACGTAAAGGTGGACATCATATGGAACATGTTTCCAGGCCACCTGTCTACCTCAGCGTATCATCATCGCCAAAAATATGCCATGGTCAGCCATACATAGTGCAGAGGAACAAACGACGTCTCAACCATGTACAACAACTAAACAATACCAGACTTCTCTCGACGCTTGGTACGAAGCAATTCCCCAACAAACAACCCCGATGTTTCTGTGCTGCACACGTCAAAAAAGTGCTGAAAAGGCGTCTGGAGTTTCCGAGCAACTGTCGAAGTTCGAATACATACAATGGCGTTCACTCACCAGTTGTTCACAACCAGAAGGCAGAAGAGAGTCGCCATCCCGCTCGGCATGTCTGACGCAATAGGCGGTGTCATGTGCCATCCGGCGGCGCACAGATAGATTCAGGACAGCGCATATTCAAAAGCAGAACCGTCGGGAATCAGTAATCATGAACGGAATCTACTGATGTTCTTTAAGGTGCCGTCAACAATATGGACGTTTGCTCGTCAAAACATAGTTGGAATAGCGCACATCGGGTCGACCAACGTTGAACCCTTCCGTTGCTTCTTTCGTAGAATCCGACCCAACTCAGCATAAATGAAGCAGTATACAGTACACGGTTCGACGGAGATGTCGGCGATGGAAAGAGGATCGCTGAAGTCTCCCGGCGATGAACTCCTTGGTTTGGCCTAGGATGTAGCTCGTCAGCCTCACCAGAGGAGGTGAGACCGCTCACCAGGGGGTGCATGGCCGCCGACCGTACCGGTATGATCATGATGTTACACGTTCCAATGTCTCTCTGACTATACACACTTGATCGATCGTTCACCTCCACCGTGTCACACTGCATGCCAAATTGGTGTTTCTTCCCCCCTCAACATGTCGTCCTGCATACCTTTCATTGTTTCGATTATGCGACTTTACTTCATCCTCGTCTTGTCGTTAGCTCTGACATGGTTCCGGAACCTCAAAACACGACATGCCGTTCGTTGTCGGTCATGGTTCGCTAATTTCCGTGACCGCTACCTCCCCACCCACGTTGACCGAGAGCCTTCTTTTCATGCTCCTTACCGTTAAAGTTGAAAGCCCAGTAGTTTGACTGTCCGTATGTCGTATCCTGAACAACAAGCAGCGGGAGCCCATACAGCGCACGCGGTACATAGCACGCGTGGGGAACAGATTTGCACCAACAGCAAGCAATGTCCAGACCAAAGCATACGCTTCCCAACAGTCGAAGATGGGGTCACAACAGCATCAACAAAATGCAACAGCAGAAACAACCGCAGAAACAACTACGTTATTGTGGTGGGTTTCACGACTGGTTTACTTTACAATCTTGGAGTGTCGACGTCCGTCGCCGCGGAGATGCCGAATCGCGATGCGCATCGCAAGAGCAGCGGTAGCGATCGGGGCTGTTACAGCACAAGACCCACACCTCACAAAACGCCGCAAGACCCACCTTGAAGCAGCGAAAAACACACCACACTAACAACAAACGGGAGGGTAAACCTTCGCATTTCCTAGGCTCATTGCTACAGCGAGCAATTCGACGCAAGGCGCCAAAAGGCCTCGATGGGTCAATACGTTTAAGAAGGGGGTGACTGCAGGGAGAGCACCGGCGGCCCACGGCTTGCGCATTCCTTGACGCAATTATCCACACGCGCGTTTGCAAAACCAAAAAGTGGGCGTACGTAGACAGGGAGGCTTGCTTCCGAGTCGTCGGCCAACCTTGAGGTGCTCGTTGGTTGGGTTGTCGGGGTCGGAATGAACCAGGCCTCCGAAAAGCTGCACTCCGAGCACGCAGAAGGTGAACCCACAGATGAAGAGCAGCATCATGAACTGAAACGCTTCCGGTGCTTCGAGACAAGTGTCGGGTGGGCGGAGGAAGAGACGGGACGGGGTAGCGGTAGCAGGTGGCATCGGAGTGATGCCAACGAGGAATGAAATCGCCATGAGCGAGCATCCGATTAAGTACCAGCACATGGAAATGTCGACGAGCATCACCTAGGGTACATGTAACTGTCATCGTCACCAATAACATCTCGTGGGAAGCCGCACATGTACCAAACTCCGCAACTCGTTCATAAATACACAGACCAAACCCTCGAGAAACGATACGTGCGGAATGTCAGGCCAACGCTCTGAGTGAAAGCGAAGTGTGTCAAGTCTCGGAAAAAACACGTCGCAAGACGGCCTGAACAAATCGTACCAAGGTGATTGAATGTCATTTTGGGTAACTCAATGTTTGTGTATTTTTCTTCTCGAACCCAGCACGGCAACTAAGAGACTCAGTCTTAGCGACCCAGATGAGGAGCAACGTACCGATGTTGCCGAACGTAGATATGACGATCCTCATCTCAGGCACAGCCACCATCAGGCGGGCGACTCGCAGCAGTCGGAAGGTGACGAAGTACACCACCACGTTGTGCAGGTTGAGAGTGGTAGAGACCCTTGTGGTCTTGAGCAGCTGTTGGTGTTGCGGTGCGGTGGTGCAGTGAAAGACTGAAGGATTGGCAACACGGCGAACATGCAGCACATGAAACTTCGTCGCTTCAACATATCTTGCTACTGCGCACGAGAAATGTGTGTTCCTTCAAGCGCCCCTCATCTCACCCGTGTGACAACTTGTAATATACCACAATACCACAATACCAGTTGAAGAGCACCAAAACAAACACCACAATCAAATATTTCAACAATAACACGCCCAGGCGAAACGAAACCCGCATCCGACCGTCCTGCTGAGCGCCCTTCACTCGTCGAAACGCCACCCACGCACAATATCTTCTACTCTTTTCGAAGCTGCCGCGAACTCACGAGTTCAGTGAAAACACCTCCGAGGGTGATGAACCCGTCGAACCGGTTGCGATTCTTGGACCAGTATGCTATTCCATCAACGCATCCCCAGAAGAACGAACGGCCACGCAGCGCGGCACAAGGGAGAAGAGTTGGAAAGGGATGTACAACCGGTGGGACTTGTAGTTGTACCGCGGTCGCGCCGGAAACTGTGGATTCCGTTCGTACGAAAGTGTCCTCGCACAGGCCGTCCGTGCCATCTGCGTTAAGATTTCATGGTTCTTCATGCAATGCGACACGAGTGAAGCATTGTCTGGGTAGGAGTATTGATCAGACTTATTCTAACCATGCATCGTACGCCGTCCCATCGGCAAAACAAAACATGCTTTTATCGACCGTGTACAGATTAGTCTAGAAGGTGGACACTTCCTACCAAACGCCGGTACCTTCACGGCGAAGCCCTTCGCACCCAGCGCGACACAACGAATACCCAAGCAGATTCCCTTCGTGCCTTGAAACACAAGAAACTTCACCACCATCAACCATCGATAGAACGGAGATGTATTAGCTCACCGTTCCAGCCAAACACGAGAATCTTGAGGGTCATTTCCACCACATACACCCAGCCGAGCAGCGAGTTGAGTCCGTGATCCGTCCCCTCCGCTTGTAGCCAGGCGTCCTGGTTCTCCGATACAAATAGACAAAACCACGGTAGTAAAACAGGAAGGCCCTCGACAGTTCAGAAAAATGTTCATGTTGAACACGTTCCAATGACCATATTTGGATCAAAGGAGAAGTTTCGGGTGAGTCAAAGATCGCTCTTGACGTCCTTATATAGTTGACCGAATAAGGAAATATACAGTAACTGGAAGCCAAGATTTTTGTTTGTTTTTTGTTTTGCTGAACGCGCAGAAACCACAGCTAGAAATCACCAGGAACAGATTTTTGGGTTGGAGGGAAAAAATGGAGCATCGGAGTAAAGTACCCTGAAATTCATATGTTTGGGGTCTTCCAGCGTGCGGACGAAAAATCTGATCTGGTGTTTCCTTGAAAGAAAAAAAGGTTTGGTTTGGGTTGGGGTTGTAACGTGTGATTAATAGTACTCAGATTAGATTTTCTAGGTCAGTACTGCTATTGTCTAGCCAAAACCGCAGGCACAACGCCAATATTGGAGCTGCTGTGTCACGGAATGATATCGAGACATCGAACATTTTTCAGCGCTCCGTCAGCTCTTAGAATTTAGTTCGAGGGTCAATAGATAAGGGCACGCTCGGCGAAAATTGCAATCGAATCATGGAGTATTTCGATCAGTCGCAGCCAAAAGCTTACGTAGACCAACACTTGTGTGGATTTTATAGGGCCCAGCATTTCAAGGGCATCACGTAAATATGTCGTGGGGCATCTGAGTCGACGCGAGCAGATCCTTCCTGAGACAGAACACCATCAACATGGAATGCTGGAGTCTTCATTCACCGCTCACAATTTCAAAACAATACTTGAGAAGGACATGCAACATAAGAAGCACATGCCAAAGAAGGTTTTCAAGGTGCAAAATCTTGTCTTGTAACAGCTTCATCGAAGCAACGCTTTGATCCAGCCGGACTTGTGGGGTGCGACAATACCCCCTGGTAGTCGTTTCTCGTCGGTGGAAATCGAACGGAATCCAGAGGTGCCGAGTGCAATAACAGGTTGCCGAGGGTGGGGATGACGGTCAAAACATCAGCAAGTCCCGAAAACAAGGGCAACATCGGCCACACAACACTGTAGCAGCTTACGTTTTCGGAGATGCCACCGTCTCTTTGGACAGCCTCTCCCGAGAGTGCTTCGGCAGATTCCACCAGGAGAAGAAGGGCGTTCAGCACGAGCACCGCGTCTACGCCGTACTCGAACCACGGGTGCCTAATGATCTTGCACAGCCATTGCCAGAAGCTGCTGTTGAACAAATCTGAGATTGGTGCCGTCGTCGAGAAGACGTTGCCGTGGGACAGTTTTCAACAGGAAGATAACGCGCAGCGGACACGCAATTGAGTCAAGAAAACAGACCAAATGAGAGAGACGATCAACATTGTTGGAGGCGGACTTCAGAGTCAAGCAAATGGAGATACAACAAAGAGGTGAGCCTCAGTGTACCTTCGTAGCCCGAGCGTTCAAGCTGCCCTGGCACAAAGGCTAGTCTTGAGCCATTTTTCAAGCGAAACGAGGCGAGACGGCTTCATGCCGAACATTGGAAGGACAGAAGACACAAAAGATCCCAGGTTGCACATATAATTTCGATTTTCATGCAATGAAAGTCGTCAGCCACAGCTTCAATTGCCGGCGGGGGGTGGCTTCACAAGGGGCCAGTGGTATGCGCAGAGCGGAGCTCAAAGGGGCCGGCGTGAATGGGTGCAAGTACACGACAAAATCATTTGCCTGGAGTCCACTTCAAAAATAGCGTCTTACGCTTCAAATTCTGGCGCATACCATTGCCTGTGAGGCGGATTGAGATGTGCGCAGCGACAATTGAACTGTCATCAAACGACGGCAGGACAAGACAACCGCCAGGAAATCGTGGATGGAGACGAGAAGCCCCAGTGAAGAGAGGCCCAACGGTGCAGCCCACTACGACAAAAAACACACCCACATTTTATCAGCAGATCCTAAATCTGCGGGGCAAGAAGCACGGCAAGTCAGGCTTTTTTTGTCCCGCCGGTTTCAACTCCTCTTGTCGCCTACCGCCCGTCTGTGATCATCAACTGTATAGGCATCAAGAGTAGAATCGCCTCGTTGCCTCCCACCTACACATACACTTGGTGAATTTTCGAAACGGAAAACGCGGTACCCCAAGCTCGTGTCTAGGAGAGAGTCATGGATCATGATGGGTCGCTAGGCGATGATTTTTCAAAGATCAATGAACCTTGTCCCGCGCATCGTTACCTGGGAGCCATGTCTCGACGAACGTCTTTGGAGAAATTTTCTCGAACCGTAGCTGGAGAAGCGTGATGACGGCATGGAACTCGTTCTGCGAGTTATCACGAACCACAGCAGCAACAGCAGCAGCAGCAGCAGCATTAGACGACCACGGCAGAGCGGGGGGTAACTGAGTAGGCATGCCTTCTCCAAGAGCGCGCCTTTGGCACTGCGCCTATCGCCCGATTCATAACGGGAAGTTTCATCGCTCTGATTTTTTCTATCGCGTCATCCTCCGCGCCGAGCAAATGTACAGCTGCCAGTCCTGTGTTTCCGTTATACCTTGCTGATGCCACAGTCTCCGTCGTCGTCCATCAGCTGTCGTCCCAGAGCCCACCATCATTGTTCACGGACGGCACCATCGTCACCACCAGCATCGCCGACGCCGCAAAATAAGCACCGCCGTGCATCAGGCAGCGTCGATGCGCCGAAACAGCGCCGAAAACACCGAACCGTGCGTGCTGTCAGAACACACATCTGTGTTTCCTCCCCCGAAGGCTGAATGCACTCCGTTCTTGCCGGGTTCCATGTACTCTTTCCTTGAGAGACAGCATAACAGCTTCCCTCGTTCACAATGACTACGGGTGGAGCCCTTACGAATGAGTCATCGGTGTTGCACGCAACGTCGTCTGCCGAAATTCTAGCAGGTATTCAAAATAAAAAATAAATCAAGCCAGACGGAGAGATCGAGCAACGATGCGGTGGAGCGTTATTCTCCCTGCTTCCCAAGGGTTGCCTTTAACTTTCTCACCTCAACCAGCAACGTTCTCTGATCGGCCGCCAGCCTGTCCAACTCCGCCGGCCCTGCTCCCAGGCATACGTTGACCTCGGTCAGGAGCTCCTCCATCACGCTGGTGCTCAATTTGCTTTCGCCACTTGGTTTTGCGGAATAATCACAAAGGGGATGAACACCAGCGCAAAGACATTTTCTCTCAAATAGTTTCGCATAGAACAAAACGCGCACGACTACCACAAGACTAAGAAGGAACTAGTGTGGGATATCTACCATCAACAGCAAGGATAGTAATCTAACCTGCACACAGCCTGATGCGGCTCGAACAGGGCATCACGCGAAGAAAAGAGACCGACAATAAACACAACGAAAGCAGGCAAGAGCTCCTTCAACTCGTCGATCTTTCGTCCGTGTCAAAATTTCAGCCGGCCGTAGCGACTAGTCCCAACATCCGAAGGGATGTCGCAAGCGTTCCAACTGCAACAACCCAGCAAGAGCCAAAGCTCTCCCCCCTCTGTCACTAACGAAACAACAACGCAAGGAGAGCTTTACAGTACGTCGGTTGCGTTTGGGCGAATCAACCCGCACCATCGATCTGTGAACGAGTGTTCATGGCTACGACGAACCCCATGCAGTTTTCTTCTCCAACACGCGCCGGCACTTTCCTGAGAACTGTTTTACCGTCGCCCATGTAATCGCAAGCTATGGGGAGTACAAGACAAAGCGATCAAAATTTACAAGCGGGGGCTCTCGTCCCCACTCACTCCATGGCGAGACGGTCGAACGCTGCGGCGCAGTTCTTGTTCCGCATGTGCAGCATCTTGTCCAGCAGCTCCCGGTGCCCGTGGGAGTACTTGTCGTACGTCGACGCCAGCAGGAAGTTCATGAGGACAAAGACGCCCAAGACCACGGCGGGGAAGAAGACGAGGCAGGCGGCGCGGTTACGGGTGTAGGCTGGCACCAGAACGTCCGGGAAGTTGGCGGTGGTGAGCATCACGAGCAGGTTCCAGCACGCGTCCTGCCTCCCAGCAAGAAGAGAAAAAGGGACAAGGGAGAGGCTTCAAGCACATACCACAATTTGACAATATGGGCAGACGTGCCACATGTGCAACTTTAACTTTCTCACCACAGGGCGTGATGATGTTACCCAAGCTAAACTCCCACCATGCCCCCAAACTACGACTTGTCTACGAGCGACAAGCAACAAATAAGAGTGAGGGTTAGCCTGGTGCATTGAGCAGCAAGAAATGAAAATGAGCACACCAACCGGATGTAAGCACTCTTCAGGTCTCATTAGCGCCAGTCTCGGCCATTGCGCCGTTGTCATGTCTTGGGCACTTGGGAAAACGTGTGAACGTCAAAGGGGAGACATGAACGTACTGCCGACACAATTCAAGTTTGGCAAGTTGTTACGGAATACGACAACACATGAAAATCATCCTGGACTTCATGGAGTGCAAGATCCGGAGGGCGACACTAACCAGGCAGCGGTACGAATACGGGTATATCAACCCATGGACACCAACTACGCGGACACAAGCCAAAACGGTTCGTTGGGCGAAACGGTACGCTTGATGAAACGTAACTTGGATGAAACATGTTTGACAAAACGGCTTCTAGAAATTCTCGACAATAGACCACCAATCATCAGTTCGGGCCGCTGGATCTCGGGCGACGAGCGTCGTCGCTCATCTTGTCTCCTGCAGGACGTGCAGTGATTGAAGACCTGCTCACTGCTTCAAAGAAACTTCCCACTGCTCGACACGCACCACACTCACCACGAAGTTTGGGAAGTAAACCGATCGTTCTTTTCCCGCAAAGGTGACATTTCCTGACACGCAACCGAGTACAAGATGCGTGACAAAAATCCACACAGAATCATTGAACAGTGAGACGGGGGTGTTGAGGAATTATAGAGAATAAATGCACGTGGGAAAGTGTGGGGGAGAGAGGCGGGAAGGCAAAGAAGGGTTCGAAGAAGACAAGGCAACACACACACCGAGAGAGAAGGTCGTCCTGGGGTTGAAGGGGATACAAACCTGCGCGAAAAAACGGCGCTGAAAAGCTAAAGGGCAGGGAACAGAATAGCGTCATATCCACCAGGGGCAAACCAGCGGCACACACAAAAAATGAAGCACATTCTTGGGGTTCGTGTTGGTGTACTGCGAACAGACGGGGGGGTGGTAAGCACCGACTATCTTGCGTCTACTCACCGAACCAAGCGAAGAATCCAAGGAACATAGCGACGACCGACAAGATTGACGCGAACTCGGTCAAGATTTTCCCGAACAGCTTCATCTGGGCCATCATGTCGGTGGAGTACCCGATCAGAAGAAGCGCACGCATGTCTGGGCACAAAAATCACGAAAAAAAAAGCAAAACATCCAAAACGTTGACGTTCGTCGCTACAAACGTGAATCATGCAGCAGGTAGCGCTTTGCGATTCCGATTGATTTGGGGAGGAATTTCCGTCCGGACAGATATGAAGACATCCCCCAAAGCAACAACTACCATACTGAGTTCGCGGATAGCAAGTGTTGTGGGGTTTCCAGAGATGTGACACAGGCAGAGTAAACTGAAAGATCTGCAATTGATTTTTTCTGTAGGCTCTGTTTTGATACCAATTTACACAGTAGAAACTCCAGGACAACAATTTCGAAGCAAGGTCAGAACAAAAGCATGGCACTGGAGTACCCTCATTGTATCTTTCCCTGCCTCCCTTCCCTCCCTCCCCCCCTCCCTCGACGATTCCTCCTCTCCCTCTCGACATGCAATAATATGGGCGCTTGAGGGATAGGCCGTGTATTAACGAAGTGCCGAAAATCAAAAATCAAAATGTGCACACAATCAAAATGCGTCATCGTGGAAAACTGGAAAAAGAGGGTCGTGTATGTGAACGAGGATAGGGGACAGATGAGGCAAAAAATCAAACAGACCTGGCGCAGGGGAAGAGCCAGCAGCGAAGGGGTGATTTTTCTAGGGTGGGGTTTGCGCTGTTCTGTTCACGTCTGTAGCCGATATCTCGCAAAACACTTAACGAGTTGCCTCAAGATTGGTATCCGGAAGGAGCTGGTAACATGGGCTGTTGGGCAATGCCAAGGTTTGGCGTCGTGAGGTGCCGCATGCGCCGGAAAAAAAAGGTTGAGTTGAAGCAAAAATGCCAACGGTTGCGAGCGGTCAGTTCTAGTTCGGTGTTTTGGGCCGCCACGGGCTTGGTTATCCACTATACACCGACAACTTTCGGAAGGAGCAAGCAACACCAACACCAACACCACGCGGCGGGAGGTACCTCTCTGCTCCATCTTTCAAGCCCAAGGTCTGCTACCGTGGGGTATCGTGCGAATAGGGAACAAAGTTTTGGTTGACCCTAAAATATCCACGTCAGAGAGTGGTTAGTTCAAGTTCGCGCCGAATGTCTGCTCACAGTTTAGTTTTTCAGCGATAACTCTTCGAAGGAGGAAGCAACAGCGTTAGCAATGCCACGCGACGGGAGGTAGCTCTACCCACCATCTTTCTCGTACAAGGTCAGATGCCTTGGGGTATCGTAAGCGTGGAGAAAAAAAATTGCATTTACCCTCTCCCGCACGGGACGGCCCGAAAAAGCTGCGCAGCCCTATCCTGATCATCAGTCCGTTCACCGCTTGTCACGATCGGCATTTTCTCCTCGAGCACCCAACGAGCCGGCCCGGTTTTTGGCTTGCCGGTTGGTAGAGTCTTTTAGCTACAAATAACGACCATGATGTCGGTGGTAGGGTGCCGATAGCCCTTCAATGAGCATTGTACAGCAGGTCGTGTCGTACACTTGCTTTGCAGCGGTCTCGCGGCAGGTGCTCCAAGCCTTCGAAAGTCTCCTTGCCTCTTTGATATTGATGTTGATATAAAAAGTATCCCGGAGACTCCTTCCCAGACAGAGGAACTTCCATAAAATCAAAGGGCGTCGTCAGGAGGTAGCAGATATTCGGCCAATCAGATCTCGATTTCAATTTCGATCTATTTATTTGATTTTTGGCACGTCGTCAATGTACGGCCTAGGCCGTTGCTTCCGGTTTGAAAAATTCCAGTAGAAAATTGAAATTTCCAATTCCCAGCCGAACAGAGCTTCTTACGGTTTGGAGAATCGATTTTTTGGAGAAATACATTTTCAACTCGGGGAAACGCTCTGCGCACTTGAAAATTTCAGAATTTTTCAAGTCGCGATCGAGTTGAACAAGCTAGTTGGAAATCCAAACCTAGGGGGGGGGGGG